ATACCACGGTACAGGCCTAAGTATTACCCCTCGAGGGTGCCTTAAAAGTTTAGTTTCCACTTTAAACCACCTGTTTTCCCTACCCTCGAGGGGTAATACTTACGCCTGCGACGTAGTATGTCCCCCCTTTATCAGCATGTCGCCGCCGAGCGTATTCACTGTATCGCAGCCATTGAACAGATGCACCGAATATATATCCCGATCCGTCCGTTTGAAAAAAAAAAAACACATCTTCGCACCAGCCACGTTTCTGGCCACGTGCCTCCTCGATCATTCAGACGAGTCTTCGTATCCGTCCTTGGAGCTCCGTACTTATGATTCGGATTAACAACTTCAGGGCAAGACCCCCGGTATTGGAACAGCTCCGTCATCCCTTCCTATTCCAAACATACTACTACCGGTACTAAGTATACGTAGTACAACATATTTGCCAGCGTTGGAAGTTTATTAGCCTCTGCCTCCGCTTCCGCAATTTGATGCATACCTCCGTACAGTGCTCCACGTGAAACGGTCACTGCACGTACTACGTCGCAGGCGTAAGTATTACCCCTCGAGGGTAGGGAAAACAGGGGGTTTAAAGTGGAAACTAAACTTTTAAGGCACCCTCGAGGGGTAATACTTAGGCCTGTACCGTGGTACTACGTACGTAGTACTACTTATCGAAGGTATAACTTTGCAAGGGATCTTACGTAATACTTGTATCAGGTCTTACTATATTTACAGTAGTAGAATGATTTTCGACTCAAGGAGGGCCAACTGAAACAAACATACTTATACGGGTTTCAAAGTCTATTTATATCTTTTACTCTCCTTTCTTTATGAATAAATGTCGGACCCAGTTTAGGCCCATAAATCATAAAGCGGTGGTTTCTTAATGGCTCAAAGCCTTGTCAACTCTACTGTATAGACTAAATACTACTTTCTAAAGCTGAATCCTTATAAGTTGATTGGTTTAATTTAAGCTTTGGTAAGATCCCCTTGCGAAATTATACTTTCGACATATACAGTATTCATAGGGGGGGGAGAGTAAACTGAAAGAATATAAGAAGGCCTATTTAATCGAGACGACGATTACGTATTGCTCGTATTTCTATATTGACGATAAAAAGTATGTGTACGAGATTGCCGAGCTACTTCGCAATTATAGCTACTTATATAAGATAAGCAATTCCTCTTTATTTTTTTATCTTCATCATACACAATCATCATAGTGCTTTACAATATTCTTACAAGCTCAATTCGTCAAAAGATCATTTTTATTTACCAACTCCATTATGCGTTTCAACAACAATCTCTCGCTCGCTTTTTTCTTTAGCGTCGCAACCGCTTTTCGTCGAACCTGCACATACGACACTACAGCCGACAACGACGTGCCCGGCTCTTACACTATAGCAGACAACGATAATTGGAGTAACATCGCGGCGGACTTTTGCAGTAATATCCAGCAGCTGCAAACTATGAACTCTCGTGCCTCGATGACTGTGGGACAAACTTTGAGAGTTCCTTGCAGAACTCGATCGCGTGATTGCGGCAAGATCCCGGGCAGCGGATATGGGTATTATACGGTCGTCGACGGCGATAACTTGCAGCTTATTGCGAGGGATTTTTGCGCAGACATCGATGGTTTGTCGCTCTTAAACCCCGACGTTAAAGACTACAAAATCACCGCTGGCATGGTCCTCCAAGTTCCTTGCTCTTGGAACTAGCTACAATACGTTAAAGCTTTATCCGCTCGCTCGCTTTGCTTACTGCGGGGGGCCAGCGAAGACGGATTTCTGAGCTTGTACGTGGCGCTGGCTACGAACCTGCGATATTCTCAACAACATTGGTAAAGCCGATCAAAAAACGCACCTTTTTCGAAGGGTGATCGAGGCGATGCACTTTAATGCTAGTCGTATTTTTCGTACTTGCCGACGAAACGAACGACGATTAAAGATACGGAATAAGAATTACTAGATACTTTTTTGTACATAACTCGAACTCGACCTTACCGACTAGCTCGATGACTCTATTTGACGACTGCATTCGACTTTTTTTCTCAAATTCGATACGATAAGCGATATTCACGATTGATTATACAAGGACGCTGAGGAAACGAAGTGGACACGGTAGCGGCTTGGCTCTCGGAACTCCTGGGATTGCTATACCGGTATAGTAGAGGAACCTTTGACAAAGGCTGGCCCGAGGACGCCTACAACTACAATCGATTGCGAATATAAGATGTCGAACGAAAGAAAGAAGGAAGAAGGATTTTGGTCGGATACTTGATTAAATGGTCTGAAAAACGGTGTATCGAGCTGCTGATATCCTAATCGCAATAAGAAGCGACCGTAGCAATTGATTCTTTTCAAACTACATCTGCCGTTCATAAGAAGCATTGAGGTGATATACGTAGTATTAAGCAATTGAACTGCTCCTTTTATCTTTTTCGATAATAAGGTTAAGCTTAGTGTATTTCGAAAGGACGCAAGATAGTGGGTAAAAACTAAGTCTCTTTTTATAAGATATTAAAGACTTGATTATCAATATATAAAAACATGATATCGATGAATCGATTCTTAAAGTGACGTATCTTTACATACCACGGTATAAGCTTGAAGTATTACCCTTCGAAGGTGCTTTAAAAGTTTAGTTTCCACTTTAAACCCCCTGGTTACCTTACCCTCGAGGGGTAATACTTACGCCTGGGACGTAGTACTTACTTACCTACGTCATCAGCCCAGCCCTGCCCTGCCCTGTCTATACCTACAGAGTCCATCGTCCCTACAGTTCAACGACAGGCGCAAGAGGCAACTGTCGCTAGCGCCGGACGCGCAGCGTCAAACATGTTTTCGGAAACGAGTCCGATCCGGGAAAGGCTTGGAAACAGCTATTTGGAGCTTTTGTTGCACGTCGCAAACCGAGCCGATATTTATATCTCGGTTCTTTTTTGGTTTACATATATATATATATATATATATATATATAGTATATATATACGTACGTAGTATACTCTCTACGTAGGTTAGTATT